ATTGAAGTTCAATGAGGACATTCCCATCCAGTGTGTCCATTTGCATGTGAGTAGTGGTGTGTTACGGAATAAAAGTGATAATTCAAATGCTGCAGCTCATCTCTGTGTGGCTGGAGGGTGATGTGTGTAAAGAGGGTCACTTACCTGGGGCTCAACAAACCACCATGAGTGAGGTCTCTTGGCATCTCCAGGCTGGTATTTGTAAGCAGAGTACACAGGAATTCTCCTGTCTCTGTCGTACAGGGCGGCATAGTGATACGAGTTCCTGAAGCGCTGACAGATCCAGGCTGGATTCTTTGGATTCAGGGCATCATTTGGGGGAATCCCTGCATAGAAGAACTGAGGACAACCTGCAAAGGGTGTTACCACCTCGCTGTGTCCCAGCCAGAGGCAGCTGGCCAACACCTGCAGCAGCAGCAGCCCCAGCATGGTGGGAGGATTTCAGTGGTGGGCTCTTGCTCCCCTGGAAGGCAAATGCAGAGGGACACTCAGCTTGGAGAGAGCTGGACATGGCCTGGAGCCTTTTTGTGCAGGGGGACAGAGCTGCCAGAGGAGGGGATTATGAGACACCAGGAAAGGAGTAGTTTTTGTCCTCCTGCATATGGAGAAATCACAAGGGCAATAAGAGTGAAACCTAAACCAGGGTTTAGGAGCCCACAGGAGGCAGCAGTGGGAGAAATCAGCCTGCAGGGGGAAGGAGCCAAACCGACTAGGACTGCAATCAGCTCTCACAGTAAAGTGAAAGTGCAACTGAGGCACGGCCCTGGGACAAGGTCACCTTTTCCCACCTCCCTCCTGCTCTCAGCACCTGCCCCCAGCAGACACCCGCAGCTGGGCACGGGCTCTGCTCAGCCCCCTGCCATGCTGAGCTGGGCTTGAATCTCATGGGGCATGGGGCAGGCAAAGAACAGCAATGCTGCACTTCCTACAAGTCTCTGGCCCCATCCGGGGTCACACAGACACTCAGCTCTTCCACTCAGACCCAACAGTGAACCCCAAAGGATCCAGCTGGGGTCCTGCCTCTCAGCTGACACTGGGCCATGGGTGTCCTGCTGCTCACCTTGCATTTCCATGTCATCCAACCCCAGAGTCTGAACTTGCAGACACATGGAGAGAGCAAATGAAGGGGCCAAGCAGATGGTAGCAGCAAGCACAAGGGATAACACCTCTATCTTATCAGTACAGTGGCTGCTGCAATGCAAGCACTGAGGGGCAGCTCTTCTCATGGTTGCTTGGGATTCCTGCTGATGTCCATCTTCAGCTTTGCTGATTGATTCCCCTGTACAGTCAAAGGCTACGCTCACAGCGATTTTCTCTTTGCTTTGCAATTTTTAGCAGGATCTAAGTAAATTTTATTTACTCAATCCCACCTGGGGTAGGAGTGCTTCATAACAGTTTTGTTTCCTTTCAGAGACAGCACAGGATTGGGAGAGCAGGGATGCTGCCATTTGCATTGCCAGACACTCAGTGCAGTGATTTCATATCGTCAGCATTTGGAATAAGGCAGCTGGGACAGGCAGGTAAAAGGGTTCCTGGCAGAGAAAGCTGCCACAGCCTCTAAAGCACAAAGCCCACCTTGCGCTGGGAAGGGGCTGAGCTCAGCACTGCTGAAGGCATGACAAGTCACCTTGCACATTTGCCCTTGTCTTCTTCTTCTCCCTGACCCTCATCTCTCCATTTCCACTGGATTCAGGATGTTGAGCTGCACACAGCCCTGCTCTGACCCAATATATCTGGTAGTTTTTCTCTTGTTCAGCTCTGGATCAGGAACATGGTGAGCAATGAGCTGGAAACTGAGAACTGACACTACAAGTGGTGACTTTTTGCAGTACTCTGCAGAGCATGCCCAAAGCTGCCCCAAAGCAAGCAGAAAAGGGTCTGAACACTCCTTCTGCATGTCCTACTCCATGAGATTAAAATAGATCTAACTCAGGCAATATCTAAGTTAACAGATACACAGAAAACAACCTACCGTGAGAAGGAGTGGCACAGGATTCTACTTGCAGCCCCTGAATGGCAGAGGAGTCTCCAGTGCCTCTGCTGCAGTCTCAGACTCTCTGGGTTTATATGCTCTCCAGAAAGACTTGCAGCCCCTGAATGGCAGAGGAGTCTCCAGTGCCTCTGCTGCAGTCTCAGACTCTCTGGGTTTATATGCTCTCCAGAAAGAGGCAGTTGTTAGATTTCCCAAGAAGCCCTTTGAGTAAATTTTCCCAGGAGTTCAGTCCACACCTCTGTTTGTCCAGAGTTTTTTTGCAAGACCACAGGTGGAATTTTAGTACTCCATAATCTCCCCCTTCCTACTTATTCAACAGTTTGATGTTAATTTTCAGGTGAGCTGGCTTGAGTTTCTTCCCCAAATCATTCCTTCTGTCTTTGCCCTCCTGACTGACAGAAAAGACTGAAGTCCTGCTAAATTCAGTGCACGCATAAGCGCTGATTGCTCCATGGAGCTCAGCAATTATAGCCTAGGTTTGTCCACAAATATATATTTCAAAAAGTAAGGAAAGACTTGAAAATTGAAATCAATGGTGAGAGGGAGGAAGAGCTTACCTTGATGCAGAGTTTCAGAAAAAGCAGCTGAACCCTTCATTCTGTCTTCTCCCTGGAGAAAGGAGTGTTTGAATGCTCAGGAGTGCCACTGCAATATACACCCAGGCATAAATTTGCCCCTTCTTATAAAGAAGGCATTCCACACAATATAGAAGTTTTCTATTTTTATTAGGAGTGTATGTGCACACCCACCCTGAAATGTGCTGTTGTTTGTCACAGTTTCCCCAGAATTTCTCCCAAATTTTCTGATACAACAGCTGCTGCTCTCAAGGTGCAGTTTCAAAATCAAGCAAGCAAAAGCATGTTCCAGGATCACAGAATCACTGAATTGTTGTGTTTTGGAGGGACTTCTCAGGACCTTCTAGTCCAGACTCCAGGATCCAGCAGGGGTAGCTAGAGCAGGTTGCCCATAAGGTTCTCTGCAGCATCTTCAGGTGTGTGGCACAGCACTTGGGCAGTAGCATTTCTGAGCACCTCCTCATCTGAACCCCTGGTGTTCTTGGCTGATATTCCTGTGCCAAAGTGCTGTTGCCCATTAGCAAGGCCATTTTGCCCAGGTACAGGAAGTGAGGGCCTCATTGCAGGGAGTGTAACAGAAATGCACCCAGATTTACAACAGATAAGTAGTTCCTCAGAAATCGGAAGTTTAACTTTACAATGTAACTTTATTGGGGTTGCCAAACAGGAATTTTTGTTTCCTGGAGGGACCAAAGGATAAATTACCCGGCCATGTCAGTGCAGCTGCATCTTCCCAGGGAACACAGGAGCTTCCCACCCCACCGTGGGATTGGGATTCCACCACATCCTCAGGCAGTCCATTCCAATGTTGAATCACCCTTTATGTGGAGAAATTCCTCCTGATGTGCCACCAGAATCTCCCCTGCTGCAGGTTGAGGCCTTGCCCTCTCATTGTCTCCCTGGTTGTCCAGCAGAAAATTCTGACCCCCACCTGGCTACACCCCCTTTTCAGGGAGCTGGAGAGAGAAATAATCTCTCAGAGCCGCCTCTTCTGGGCTAAAGAACCCCAGCTGCCTCAGCTGCTCCTCACAGGCCTTTCCCTCCAGGGCCTTCACCAGCTTCATGGCCTTTCTCTGCACTGCCTGCTGACATGGCCTCGGCCCGTGGATCCAGCCTGTCCAGATCCCTCTGCAGAGCCTTCCTGCCCTGCAGCAGGCTGAGTCTCCCACCAAACTTGGTATCATCCATGATCTTGCTGAGAGTTCCCTGGATCCCCTCATCCAGATCACCAGTAAAGATCATAAACGGGACTAGGCCCGACACTGCTCCCTGGGGACAGCGCTTGTGGCCGGACGCCAGCTGGATGTGGCACTGTTCACCAAGGCTCTCTGGGCCTGGACATCCAGACTGCTCCTGACCCAGCCAGGAGAGCACCTCTCCAAGCCGTGGGCTGACAGCTTTTCCTGGAGAATGCTGTGGGAGACTGTGCCAAAGGCTTTGTTGAAGTCCAGGTGGACACTTCCACAGCCTCCCCCCTCATCCACTGGGCCGCTCATCTGGTCATCAAAGGAGATCGGGTTCACTAGGCAGGACCTGCCTTTCCTAAAGCCCTGCTGGCTGGGACTGATGCCTTGGTTATCCTGGATGTGCCCTGTGAACACACTCAGGACAATCTGCTCCAAAACCCTTCTGGGAAGCGAGGTCAGCTGGACACACCTGTAATTCCCCAGATTCCCCTTCCAACCCTTCTTATGGATGGGTGTCACAATGGCCAAAGTCCAGGCATCTGGGACCTCCCCAGTGACCCAGCACTGATTAGAACTGATGGAAAGCAAAAGTCCTCATATATGAAATAAGGCAGAATCCAAGCTGATCCTTTTCTCTCTCGTGCTTCCCATGTATTTCACAAGCTTGCTGTGCATGGCAGGGCATTTCTGGTCACTGCCAGGGGTGAAGGTCCTGGGATGAGCCTCGGAAGTTGATACAGGTGGCACTGATGGAGTTGCTGTGTTGGTTTTGCACAGGCTGGATCTTGGGAGTGGAGGAGGGGGGCCACAGAGGTGGCTTCTGTGAGAAGCTGCTAGAAGCTTCCACCATGCCTGGCAAATCCAGTCCCTGATGGCTCTGAAGATGGACATGCTGCTGGCCACAGCTGGGCCAATTAGAGATGTTGGTAACACCTCTGCAATAACATATTAAAGAAGAAAATCAAAGGAAAGTGTGGCGTGCAGTTTGATTTTCCAACCAGAGAAGAGGAGGAGGTGAGTACATGCGGGGGAAACAACGTGGAGACACCAGGGTCAGGGGAGAAGGAGGGGGAGGAGATGCTCCATGTGCTGGAGCCCAGATTCCTCTGTAAGCCATGGTGAAGCAGCTGTGCCCCTGCAGCCCATGGGGATCCACGAGGGATGCAGAGATCCACCAACAGCCCATGGGGATCCACGGGGGATGCAGAGATCCACCAACAGCCCATGGGGGATGTGCCAAGTCTGGGGCAGGTGCATGCCTGGAGGATGCTGTGATGCACTGGGAGACATGGTGAAGGGAGGGGTCACCTGATCCCACGCTGGAGCAGCCAGTCCTTGGAGAACTGCACTCTGTGGAAGGAGGATCCATGCCAGGGCAATTTTGGGAGGACTGTGCGCCTGTGGGCAGGACTCATGTTCTCATGTTGTAGCAGTCTTAGTTGAACATGTGATTGTGAGAGTGGAGCCATAGTGGAAAAGTTCAAGGAGAACTGTCTCCTGTGGGAGGGACCCCACGGTGCAGAAGGAGAGGGACTCCTCTCCCTGAGCACAGGAAGAAAATCTTGGGTGATGAACTGACCAAAGCCCCCACACTCTGTCTCTCTGTGCTGTTGCTGGGAAGGAGGGAAGGACTGGGGGAAGAAAAGGTGTCTTTAAGGGCTATTTTAATTCTCATTATCCTCCTCTGATTGTGTTAGTAATAAATTCACTTTCTGTCTCTATGTTGAACATGTTGTGCCCTTGCAGTGTTTTTTCCCAGTCCTCGCTTCCCATGTATTTCACAAGCTTGCTGTGCATGGCAGGGCATTTCTGGTCACTGCCAGGGGTGAAGGTCCTGGGATGAGCCTCGGAAGTTGTTACAGGTGGCACTGATGGAGTTGCTGTGTTGGTTTTGCACAGGCTGGATCTTGGGAGTGGAGGAGGGGGGCCACAGAGGTGGCTTCTGTGAGAAGCTGCTAGAAGCTTCCACCATGCCTGGCAAATCCAGTCCCTGATGGCTCTGAAGATGGACATGCTGCTGGCCACAGCTGGGCCAATTAGAGATGTTGGTAACACCTCTGCAATAACATATTAAAGAAGAAAATCAAAGGAAAGTGTGGCGTGCAGTTTGATTTTCCAACCAGAGGAGGAGGTGAGTATATGCGGGGGAAACAACGTGGAGACACCAGGGTCAGGGGAGAAGGAGGGGGAGGAGATGCTCCATGTGCTGGAGCCCAGATTCCTCTGTAAGCCATGGTGAAGCAGCTGTGCCCCTGCAGACCATGGGGATCCACGGGGGATGCAGTGATCCACCAACAGCCCATGGGGGATGTGCCAAGTCTGGGGCAGGTGCATGCCTGGAGGATGCTGTGATGCACTGGGAGACATGGTGAAGGGAGGGGTCACCTGATCCCACGCTGGAGCAGCCAGTCCTTGGAGAACTGCACTCTGTGGAAGGAGGATCCATGCCAGGGCAATTTTGGGAGGACTGTGCGCCTGTGGGCAGGACTCATGTTCTCATGTTGTAGCAGTCTTAGTTGAACATGTGATTGTGAGAGTGGAGCCATAGTGGAAAAGTTCAAGGAGAACTGTCTCCTGTGGGAGGGACCCCACGGTGCAGAAGGAGAGGGACTCCTCTCCCTGAGCACAGGAAGAAAATCTTGGGTGATGAACTGACCAAAGCCCCCACACTCTGTCTCTCTGTGCTGTTGCTGGGAAGGAGGGAAGGACTGGGGGAAGAAAAGGTGTCTTTAAGGGCTATTTTAATTCTCATTATCCTCCTCTGATTGTGTTAGTAATAAATTCACTTTCTGTCTCTATGTTGAACATGGTGTGCCCTTGCAGTGTTTTTTCCCAGTCCTCATCTCAACACATAATTCCTTTATTAATTTTTTTTCTCTCCCCTGACCAGCTGTAACAGGGGAGGCTGAGTGGGCAGCAGGCACCACTGAAAGCGACACTCTGAAAGTGAGTGGTTGGCATCCTGACCCACTTTCTTCATGCCATTCACATGAGAATAACTGCTGTCTGAGACTGGCACTGGTTTGGGTGTTGGCACATCCTCTGATTGCATTTGCACACCCAATGTCCTGCAAGGATGCTCTGGGCACTGTGACTTTACTGGTGGTTCTAGAAATTTCAGTGGAAAGCAACTTGTGGTTTATAGAAGACGTGACCCTGCAATCCAGCGCTGCATCAAATAATTTTTATTGTAAGCTCTTGCAAACTTCTTAATGTGGCAGACATTGTTCTTTGACAACCATTGAATACATTTCCCCAAATCAGTTTCCCATAAATCTGTAGAAAATCTTCAGAAACAGAGCAGAGAACAAAGACGTCCAAGGAGTGCATCACAGGAATTCAGCTTTGGCTGCTCAAAGCTTGCCATGTATCTGATGCCAAAGCCTGCCTGTCTGATACAACAGCTGCTGCTCTAAAGGTGCAGTTTCAAAAGCAAGCAAGCAAAAGCATGTTCCAGGATCACAGAATCACTGAATTGTTGTGTTTTGGAGGAACTTCTCAGGACCTTCTAGTCCAGACTCCAGGCTCCAGCAGGGGCAGCTAGAGCAGGTTGTCCAGAATCACGTATTGTTGGCATTTGGGTATCTCCAGGCATGGAGATCTCCCGACAGGATCTCTGGGCAATTTGAGGTGCCCTGGTGCCACTGCCCTGCTAAGGAGGTGAGGGACAAGCCAGCTGCACACTCCTGGGACAGCTAAGGAGGAGAGGACTCGTTCCTGAGAGCTCTCTGCTGAGATGGGCAGCAAAGCAAAGCAGCTGGAGGCTCTGCCCACATCTCTGTGCCTTTGAGCAGAGGAGGAGGTGCCCTGAGGGGATGTTCAGCCTGGAGAAGACTGCTGAGAGTGCAGTACCTCAAGGATCTCTAAGAGGGCTGGAGAGGGTCTTTGGACAAGGGTATGGAGTGACAGGACAAGAGGGAATGGTTTCACACTGATGGAGGGCTGCTTATGTATGATATTGTAAGGAATTAAATTACCCTGAGGAGGGTGCAGTACAAGTAGAAGTTACCCAGAGATGTTTTGACTGCCCTGTCCCTGGAAGGGTTCAAGGCTGGGCTGGGGAGGGCTTGGAATAACCTGGTGTACCGGATGGTGTTCACGCCCATGGTGAGTAGGTCAGAATGAGATGATGATTAAGGCTTTAAGATCCCATCAAAACCAACCCGTTCTGTGATTCTGTGACATGTAGGAAAAGGCACTGAGCCTTTTCCATTGAGGATGTGAAGCTTATTGCCGGGGACAGTCATTGTTGAACAGAGTAACCTCTCCCTTATAGAGTTCGGTCAACCTCTTCTCCAGCTCCCCTAGACTGAGCTCTTCCACTTCGTTCTTGTCATTCTCAGCGATGGCCCCCCAAGCATCTTTGCGTTTTTTGTCCCTCTCGCAGCAGGCAGCCGACCAGATGTGGCTGGGTCTGTTGACCCTCCCTTCAGCGATGTAGGTGTTCCCAGGCACAGCACCCGTGATCACGTAGGTCGTTGTACAGCCCTTGGTCTTTGTGGGCATCCTGTTAGACTCGTAGATGTTCCACTGGCCCGTGTTGAGGCTGCTATTCTGGGGGACTATGTTGGTGAGGGTGAAGGTAGCTGTCTTGCTTTCTCTACTGTACTGATGGCCACTGGGGCTCAAATGGCCACGGTCCAAACCAGTCGCGTTGTAGTCGGCAGGAACAGCCTGGCTCTGTTTGATTTGGTCTAAGGTGAACTTGTGTTGCTCTACGAGGACCGACTCTCTTTCCATCTCTTTAAGATTATTTTTACCTATCAGCTTGATAGGGAAAGAGAAAGAGGTGTTAGAATAGGGAATGGGAGTAATATAGAAGATTTCCCTGGAGCAGAAGTCTCTGATGCTCAAGATCCCATTTGGTGTCATCTCAGTGTAGGAAAATGTATGAATCTGAGACAAATCATACACGTGGCCTTCCTGCATGAATGCAAGACAGTTAAAGAGAAAGCAGTTCAGAATGTGACTGCTCTCCTTTTGCATTGTGACCTTTGTGATCCAGCCTGCAGCCTGTGCTGGGAGCATGGATGGATGCACGAGACAAGGAGCATTTCCCACTCTAGGATTGAAAGGTGACTTTGGTGGGACACCTCCCCTGTCAAATCTGCTTCCCTTTCCTCCTGCCTCCACAGCCCAAATCTGCCAAGGGCTCTCCCTGGATCCACTCATGCCATGACTGTTTCTGTGATTTTATGTGTGGTTGCTTCAGGTGTACCCCAGTCCTGGAACACCCGAGGTTGCTTCCTGTAACACCATACAAAGGGAGATGTGTCAGGAAATCAGTCCTGGAGCTAAGGTTTCCCTGGGAGGGGTACAGTTTGTTTAAAAATGACCAGTTTTCCTCAGTAAGCAAAAAGATCTCAATGTGTTGAATGAAATGTGTTACAGCAGTGCTGGGAATGTGTGCTAGAGCTATCTGGGCAAGGGAGAATTTTCTGCAGCATCTCTGAAAAAAGTTAGAAATTATCAGCCTCTGAGTGTAGCCTGTAATCCCAAAAGAGTCCTGGGGAAATTAATACTCCAAAAATGCCTCAGGAGAAAGTTATTAAAAATGAAAGGTTGTTTGGGTGGCCAGAGTCCAAGGTCCAGAAGGAAAATGCCAGGTTGGATAGGGCTTGGAGCAGGCTGGTCTAATGGAAAGTGGCCTGGCCCATGCAGTGGAGTTTGACTGAGATGGTCTTTAAGCTTCCTTACAACAAAAACCATTCTATGATTCTCCAAAAATAGAGAATGTGGAGGCTGCAGTGGAGCAATGCCAGAGTAGTTGTTCAAGCGAAGTAAGATGAAGTTATTACTTTTTTAATAACTTCAACACAATTTTGTTCATCTTTAGAGAAACATATTTAGCCTTCCTCTGGAATAGGGAATGTGGCTTCCTCCTCTGGCTCATCTTCCCCCAAACACTGTCCTGCTGCTCTGTCCTTACCAATGACAGGAATTTCTTCTTTTTCTCTTCTGCAATTGGCCTGGCCTCTTCTACTGAAGTTTGTCTGAAAGACATTGGTGAGGGCTCTAGGGCTTGTGGAGTTCTGTCTGTCTGCTGGATCCTTGTGGACCAAGCCTGACCCAAAGGTGCTCAGGGGTCTCTGCCCATGGATGGAGATCCCACCCTTCTGACTGAACCAACACTGATGCTCCTCATCTTGCACTGCCTGAAATGTCACTCCAGAAATCCCTCGACAATTAACCTGTTCCTCTCATCTCCAGTGCCTTTTTCACTGAGGCTTTGTCCCTGGGCCACCTCACCCCCTTCTGAGTTTCCTTTCACTTCTGTCACACCACTCACAAAGGCTGTTTGACTCTTCACTGGGAGCAGATAAGCTCTGCCAGGAATGCAGACCAGCTCAGGGCCAAGTGGGGATCAGATGCCAGCAGGACTGTTGGTCCCTCAAGTTTAGCCTCTCCTGGATGCCTTTTCCCCATCACTTGGTCACTCAGCACAGCAGGGCCCAGGGAGGGGAAGCATTTGACTTTGTCATGTCATGCAAAGGAATCTGGTTTGCTGTTCCTGTCAGGTGAAGGCAGAAAGCTGGGCACCCTTGGGATGTGATTCATCTCATGCTCCTGCTGATGTCTCAGATGCATCAGAGGAACTGTGTGGCGCAGGAAATTGAAGTTCAATGAGGACATTCCCATCCAGTGTGTCAATTTCCAGGTGAGTAGTGGGGTGTTAGGAAATAGAAGTGGAAATTTTAATGCTGCAGCTCATCTCTGAGTGGATGGAGGGTGATGTGAGTAAAGAGGGTCACTTACCTGGGGCTCAAC